ATGGTTTCTTCATTGGCGTTGGAGTTTTTTCAGGGCAGGAAGTCGAGGATGTGGAAGGAGGAACATCAGGAAACCATACGGATGGCTTTTAGGAAAGGAGTGGTATTTGGGCATACGATGCGTGAAGGTAATTGGGCTGCGCACCATTTGGCTATGGGCCCCGTGGATCGATTAATACAGTACTCAGATATGGATCAGCTTCCTATTTTTGTTCGCAGGTCCTTTTGGATGGATTTTTTGGGCATTCCGACATTTAGGTTTTAATTCTTATCTGGGTCAGGTGTGGTCCGCCCCGGATTTTATTTTGTAATATTTTATTTCTAATAAATTCGGTAAATGTCCCCCGGCATTTACCCCACTGATTATGGTGGTTGGCCTTCCGGGGTAAAACAAACTAGGAAAATGTGGGTTTTATTGTGGGTTTTTTCCCGCACCGAAAATCACAAGGGAATTTGAACCCTTTAGAAAGGGAAACCCCCCCTAAGGAGTTAAGCTTCCTAAAGGGAAAGGCTCTCTCACGCGCGCAGGTGGAGGTGGTGCGAATCAAATCCCTAAACCGAAGAACAAAAAGCGCGACTTGCGTGTGCGGGCGACCTGCACACACAAATGCCATCCGAAAATCTATCTTCTAAAGATAACGTTAATTTTTGTTCTTCCGGTGCGTTCCTATTTTATTTTTGCTCCATGCTGAACTGGAACGTTGCAGCATAAATGCCCAACGCTGCCATTGAAGTACCAACGTTCATATGAACGTTGTTGCAGCATAAATGCTCAACGTTGCCATTGAAGTCCCAATGTTCATATGAACGTTTTGAGCTGTTTATTGGCTGGAATCAATGCCCGACGATTAGGACATTGATGTCCAACGTTCACAAGCCTTAAACAGCCATTAACACACCATAATCCACCACTATAAAAGGCTAGCAGGTGCTTTGCAAACACACAAGCTTCATACACTTCGTACACATATTTTCAGAGCTAAAACCACCTCTAGCATTCCTTACAAACTCTTCTGTGTTTTGACCTTTGTTCATGTTCGTTGGAACTTTAGTTTGAGTGCTAAACTATTGTTCGAAGTCATCGTATCTTGGGAAACGATCGTTGCAACGCTCCTAGCACCCTGGGAGGCAACGAATATGTTTTAAGGAAATCGTGCGTAGCACGAGCTTTGGCTTATTCTGCTTCATCTCATTTCTTGTTTTTCTTTTTCCTTTAAGTCATTTTATTAATTAATTTTATTAATTAATTTTCTTTGTTTTTTGAAACACACCCACACCCAACATAATCTTTTTCCAACGTAAACTTTCTCTTGTTGAGTTGATGAAGTTGTAGTCTCAAGAGTTTTTGGATGTTTGAACTTAAAGAGAGAATAATTACCTTTGCAATCATTCGAGATGTATCATATATACTGAAAGATGTCTTCCCGTCGGAGTGTAGAGGACATCTTCATTTAATGCATGTACTATTGATTTGACTGGTTGGTTTCCAAAAAGTAGCTGACTTGCTATTTTGGGGGCGAGAAGATATTCGCCTGGTCAATAATCAGCTTTAAATATCCCAACGAGTGAAGCTCATTAAATGAGCATTTGATGCGCATCCTGTATATTTTCCATTGAGAGGCTCCTAGCCGTTAGGGAATTTCCTGTTAGTTGTAACGATTATTCGAAGTTCTTTGAAAAATTCTAAGTGTGAGCAGTTCTGATGATGTTCTCTGGTACCAACTTTGTTGGAGTCACAGTCCACAGTTTTCTGGTGCATCTCTGACCATGACAGAAACCCTTGAACTTCTCTGGTCCGTCGACTATGCTATAACTTACACTCAGAAAAATTATAATACAAATTAACTAAAGGGGGTACTCTAATATCCTAATTAGCTTAGCATCATCAAAATCTAAATACAATTCATTCCTTACAGAAGTGAATAATTCCCAAAAGCAAATTCAAAGTGTGTACCGTCACTTTAACTTTTGTGAAATTTTGATTAATTCACAAAACTGACAAACGAATAATTTCCAAAATAAAGAATAATCAAATTTGTTATTGCAACCTTCGTTGGTGGCTAAAACTTCCAACCTTAATCCTTGCATCTTTCCTTTTTTTATTTGTTAAACATGGATGGTTAAAATTTTAATGGTGTAGGTTAGCTGAACTTTTGGGATAACCTTCCGTATGTGGCTCATCTTTTTAATCATGAATTTAGTCATTAAACTATTTTTATAAGTAGTTATACTCGCTGGCCACTTCTGTTTTCCAAATTACCATATCATCCTTCTTAATAACCGATCCATTAATAGTTGATATATTTATTATTATTCCATGTATGTCATCCACAGACTCCTACCATGCATCTTATATATTCAAAAACAAATCCATTAATATGTACACGGTGACATTTAAATTTATTAATGAGTATATTCAACATTTGGACAACGAAAAAATAACTTTGATTTTAGGTTTAAATATGTTTTTAGTCCCTCCAAATATAGTATATTTTGTTTTACATCCTTGCAATTTTTTTTTTGTTTTTCATCCTTGTAATTTATGTTAATTTTCTTTTTAGTCCATCATTGATGATAACAACCTCCATTTGACCTCAAAATAATCCTGACTAATAGATTTCCTCTAATTTTTTGTTTTGTTGTTCAAAAAGTATATAATTTTATTTTTGGAAGGTTTTTTATATATATTTGAAAAATGTGAATACTTAGTTTTGTATTGTTTTAACTCGCATATTAGCCTCAAAAAATTTATAAACGGACAAATTTAAATATTCGTAGTAGATTTATGTAACCGACAATACCTATTTTGTAAGTAGAGTAGTTTCAGAATTAGATATGGACTAAAAACAAAATAATGTATATTGCAGGGATGAAAACAAGGAAAATATTTTACAGGGACCTGAAACAAAGCGCATCACATTTGCAGGGACTAAAAGCGTATTTAAGTCTTGATTTTATAATTGAAGTGCTTTAGAAAAATATTGATACATTAAAATGTATGAAATGGCAAATCGATTATTTGAAAATGAAAAAGAATATATAAGATTTTATCAAATAATTTGAAGCTAAAGAGTGTAAAAGGTATACTCACAATACTTTCAAATAACTTTTGTCTTGTTTTTTATAGATGAAGATTTTGTCTTGTGTAACCACATGAATCTTATCGAAATAAAGAATTGATTTTTGAATTGCAATTTTTGCCTACCAATGAGAGTGTTTGTGATTCATGATGACTTTCTTAATACTACAATAATATGTATAAATTATTAATTTTTGGAATACTATTATATTGCTAATTCATATAGATGGTGCGTATTATATTTATATTAATGGTAAAGTTAGTTAAAGGTTATTACATGTGAAATAAATTGTTTTTAGAAATTAAAGTAAGAAGTAAATGAATTGTGTAATTTAATGTCATCAAACATTTGTGTTTTGGATTCACTTCACATGATCTAATTTTTTTTAATTATTGTGTCTGGTATTTCATAATGTTTGATATTTTACAAAATTGAGTACTAATTATCTGATAAAGATAATTAACTGTTACAAAACTATGATTTTTTGTATAATAAGTATCCTAAGTCTTAAACAATGAATTGTTCTCTTGTTTATTTGTCTAAATAATGATAAATTATTTTAGATGTTTCTTCATTTAAATCTCCATTTAAGTACTAGTTATGTAAGACTATATTAACTTTGTCAATTAAAAGTTAGGGGCACATATATATCTAATTAATGTATGAAGATTTTATGCAAATATTACATATTATTTGAAAGTCCGGGGGAGGGCAACCGCCCCCCTAAATCCATCTTTGGTGATGGGGCGGTGCTATGTTTAGTTCTTGAGTTCGTGAGTGGGTCTTCACCCAATCATGCAAACACTTGAGCATCTCAAGAAATTGTGTGCTCAACCTCATTCTGTAAGCGGTCACTCAATAAAAGGTTTAAGTTGGATATAGTAACGTGGATAAATGAATCTTATGTGGCATATTTTTTTTTAAATAAATGACATACATCAGCTTTAACCAGTAAATGACAACTTAGGAATGCCATTTAAGCTATACAACGAGTTGGAAAATTAGGTTGTGGTTTTTCTTAATTGAAGGAGTGATTTGCACTTTATCACTGACTTGGAGGATTTGGTTGAATATGTTTTTAATTCAGGGGTGATTTGCAGTATTGGTGTTAGTTTGAGCGTTGATTTTGTACTTTTTCCTTATCCAAAATTCAACAGGACGGGGGAGTATAATAAATTAACATTTGAATAATGTATGATCGATGCAATGAAATACTTCGTATATGAATTCAATTTTATTTGATAAAGTTATGTGAATTTTGAATAATTAAGCGAGTTTGACTGAAGTGAAATTGAGAATTGTTGTGGTAGTCAAAGGTGGTGTTTGAATCTGCTTTTTAAAATTGTTTGTGCTCCTTCAGAGAGCAGAAGAAGTTGAAGTGTTTGGGTGGAAGTGCAGAAGTGCTTATGATACTTTAACTCCTAGAATAAGTGTTTTTTAGAAGTTGGGGGAGAACAGCTTCTGAAATTTGATTCTGCTTCTGCTTTAAAAAAAGAAGTAGAAGTAGAATCAGTTCCAAACACCTCCAAAGTTACATATTGTGTATGAGAAAGCAGCTTGAGAGAGAGAAAATGAATATAAAATGAGATTAAGAGCTCATTTGGGGATCATGTTTTTCGAATTATTATGATTATTAGCCATTTTTTCACCAAACACGTAAATTTTAATTTCGTGCGCTGAGTTGTGTAATAATTATAAGAAAAGTATGGTTGACGTTACTTTTCTGATTGTATTGGCTGAAATTACTATAAAAGATCATTTTAGGTATTTTCATGTATTTTTTCTTTAGTGTATAAATAAAATATATTTTAAATACGGAGTATAATTTTTTTATAAATCAACGGCTTCAGTCGATCCAGACAAAACTTCATAAATTTGAAGAGAATGAATGAAGTTACCAAACGGGTTTTAAATGTTAAAATTGTCAATTTATAAATACAAATGACAAAATATTTGTAAACATGTGTGTGCAGGTTGCGTGGAATAAAGAAAGTATGAAAATGGGTGACATAGATTTGGTAAGCCAAGCGTGTACGAAAATAAGGAATTCAGTGAAAGAGATGGACAGAGAGAGCATCACAGAGGTGATGGAATGGCTAGAACAAAACCCCGACGACGGCCTAATTGACGGCGATTATTTGGTTTGTGCTAATCTAGAAAACCTGGACTCGTATTCAGCTTGTTTTGGGGACAGCCTGCAGCCGATGCATGTGTCTTATTATATCGAACCGGCGGATGCTGGTTGCGGCGACAAGCTTATCATCCTTCCATCACCGCCGTCGGGAACCGGACCATTCAGCCGGACGGTTATGCTTACGTTGCCGAAGAATGAAGCTTTCAAGCTCATGGAAGATCCATTTATCCAACAACTTTCCCCTTCCGTAAAGATGCATCCACACAATTAATGCGGATCGGAGCAGCGCACGCTAATGAATTATTTATTAAGAGCCTAATCGATTTGAAGCACTAATTAATTAATTACGTGACTGCACCTTAGCTTCAATTTATTTCTGCTACACTACACAAACTATTCGTTACTCCGTATATTTTATGTTCTCCAACTACTACCATATGTATTACGTATTAAGTAAAATAAAGCCACGCGACCTCCTGGCCTAAATGTAATGATCGATTTTAGAGATACTAAATTATGTTCAATTTTTACTTAACCGATCATGACATTTAGGGAAAACTATTAAATCGACACTCGTACTCTCTTTAAAAAGTTAATCTGAAAACACCTAATAAACACTCCAACTTAAAAATTGGGCGTTTTTACAGGTAAATAACATGTTTTCCGATTGCCTACACACGTGACAACCAACGTGGATGCTACTTTTTGTTTTTATGTTTCTTTACTTTACCAATTAACTTCCTTCCTTCCTTCCTCGTTAGCAACGCGCGGGAGTCCTCGATCAACATTTGAGAAGAAGCTTTGATTTGAGATCTATGCGATGGAAGCGTCATCTTCAGCCTCGGTCATAACTTCCCAAGATGTATTAGAGATAATGATGAATGACCACACAATTGACCACATCTGACTGAAAAAGGTTCATATTAGAAGGTATATTTAGAATGTTTTAGATTAGATAAAAAGATTCAAGATAAATCAGAAAGATTTAAACAATATCATGAACACTCATATCATTAATGCGAAAAATTCTAGTTATTATACCGTGGAAGCGACTCATTGTGAACATCATCATGCTCCCAGGGCTAAAACACGCGCATGAACAATAATTGTATTATTTCATTTTCAGAGTGGTGTAACTCACGTTTAAATAATGTAACACCTTCATAGAAAATGTAACTTGAGCCAAGTCAAAATGTACGTTGTCTTATACGAAGTATAAGGAATAAAACATTGAGTTCAATGTAAATAATGAAAAATGGAGTCTAAGCTAATTGCCCAATTACCTTACGTAAATAGTCTACATATTTTTTAACATCAGGGCTATAAAATATGATATATTTAAAAATATCATACCCTCGCACCTAAAACACCCGTGAAGAGTATTTTTATTTATTTCAATATCGGGGTTTTGTTTTTCAGCACAAATCACGCTATTACAAATGTAATTTGATGAGGCGCCTCCGAATGTAACTCACGCAAATGAAAATTTAATTTACGCACATGCAGATTTAAATCGCGCATAAGCTGATATAACATGTGCACGTAAAGATGTAAATCACTTATAAGAAGATAAAACTCCATGATAGAGTATATGTTCTAGAGAGAAGTGAGAGCTATAGAGAGAAGTGCAATTAATACTACAATAAATGAATTTTGTCGACCCCTGCAACTACTCCCAAGGGGAGTATTTATAGAGGAAATGTGGGCTGGGCTCCCAAGTCTTGGGCTTGGGAGGCTCATTTACAATGGGGCCTCTACTAGGCCAAGTACAAAGTATGCAAAAATGGCTAAGTATAAATTCGGGCTATGTGAGCTCTCTGTGGCCGACGAAGGTCTGGCCGACGGAGCCATGGCCAATGGAGACCCGGCCGACGGAGACACCTGATTCTCCTGACTTCTGGATCATGTTCTGAGTTGACATCTTTTTGGCCGACGGAGGACCCGCTGGGTGCCAGCTGCACTTCTTAATCTTGTGAGTATGTGCGTCATGGGGTCTGGACCCATATACTCCATCAGGAGTCCCCCACTCTCTGAGCTGAGACATAGGCGAAGTGAAAGAGAGTAGATTCCCGTGGTCTTGATGTTCTTTGGCCGATGTGGCACTATTGCGGACATCCTCTGTTTTTGGCCACTGTGGACGTCCCTTGTTTTAGCCATTGTGTGCATTCTCTGTTTTGGCCGTTGTGTGGCCTCTATTTTGGCCGTTGTGTGGCCTCTGCTGTGGTTGAAGGACGTCCTTGTTCTGAGGGTGGTGCGCGCTTTTGTGCTCTAGGACGATGAGTGTCATGGCCTGAGTACCCGATGAGCGGTCTCAGTTTTGAGGGTGACATGACCTCTCTTTGGCTGTTGTTGGTTGCCTTTTGCGTTTTTGGCCGATGAGGCGCCATGGTTGCTTTTAGTGCTCCAGGGCGAAGCGATATTATTCGTAGTTTGGTGTCCATGGCTTTGAGGATGATAATGGCACTCAACCAGAGGACGTTGTGTGTCCTTGGTTTTGTGGACGTTGGGGTGCTATTTACTTACCTTGGCTGAGGATGGAGTACGTGACCCAAGGTCGTTGAGCGCCACGTGTCGAGGGACGACACATGTCACGTTCTGGGAGGTGAGCTTTGCTTCCTTGTTTGCTTACTTTGTTGCGGCCGAGGGTGCGCCACTTTGTTGCTTCCTTGTTTGCTTACGTTATGGTGCATAGACGATACGACGTTGTTGCAGTTGTATACTTGTGCATTTTTGGATTTTCAGTTTCATCCTTGCATTTAGAGGCCGGTGTAGTCCCCCCAGTCCCCCACTTCTTCAGGCTGAAGCGGGATCCTCGTATTTCCCCTGAATCCAACCCCTTGGCAATTCCTGACCAAGATAACCCTATAGGAGAACCCTTGGACGCAGGTTGCTTTCAAGAGGTTATCAACAGTAGGTTTTATACGAGGGCCGATGGCTATTATGTCACGCCCCGGACCTAGCCGGACACGTCAACAACCCGCCGTACAGTACGAATAGTCAACCGCAGTCCAACTCATCCATACTATACAAGGCGTCATGAATATCATTCACACATAGTACATCCATAAACAAACATAATGTAAAACATTCATTTAAAACAGCGGAAGCATTAATACAATTGTTCAAGCCACACTTGGCATAACTAGACATACAAGCCCCCAAAGTAATTATTATGAAAATAGTATCCATGAGCATTAACGTAATTGTTTTTAAGACAGAACGGAAGAAGCACGAACCACGTCTTCTCCCCTTGATCCTCCCGAAGCAACGGGCAATGGTAGAAACCTTCAAGTTCTACCTGAAACTGTGAGGTGGCCTCCCCCGTGAAGGGGAGGTCAGTACTTGGAAATATTTGACAAGTACAATGGCAACTATACTAAGTATAATCAACGTTTTAATCTCCAAGACCCTCGAAATAGGGTGATATCATAATATAAATAATAATTTATATTTCCCACTTATTACCTTTATAATAAGTGAATTTATTTATTCGTCGGCACACGGCCCTTCTTATATGTTCCTTTTCATTTATCATTCGCACAACCCAACCCTTGGGTCTTATTATTTCTACGGGACTTGCTACCGCTGTCCGAGACCTCATGAGGCTCCCGGTTCGGACTCCAACATCCCGCCCCTGGACTCATACCCATCATCCCGTAGCAAGGTAAGGCCCTTCGGGGTCCTATCTTATGTGTTACCGCTACCGGAACCTAGTTAGGTCTCCGATTCGGATTCCACCCTAACCCGTGATCACGATGTAAGTCCATGCTATCCAACCCCGCTCTCTAGAGTTGGGAAGGGCCATGGTCCTTACTATTTCCATAATTCAACCGGTTATCCACAAGGACTACCGAACACACCCGTAGGTCAATCCTATACTTAGGATCAATTTAATATTTGCATTATCTTGGGTATCCCTTAAGGCCTACCCCTAGTATAACTTCAAGTTCATACTTTCCTACCTTAAAGCATCTCTTAAGACTACTTAAGGCCTAACATTTCACAATCCAACCTTAGGATCAATCTTAACAACATTTCATTTTAGTGTCCAACTAGTATCTTAATACTAGTCAAATTTATATCAACAAACCAAGTTCTCCACTCATAGTCTTATAGACAAATCCAACCGATTTTCGTTTGGAAAATATCATTTATCTCAATATTCAAAATATCACTTTTAATCACTCATATATTCTAATATGAAGAAAAAGTATATTTCAACATATGTTTCATAATAAATTCCACTTTCAAGTCAACATACTCATAACACATGACCATACACAAATTTACTCTTAAATTTCTATATCATGCTCCCTTTTTCTTTAGACATTTAATCTATTCATTTTTAGGCATTATTAATCATTAATAATCCATAAAAACACTTTTAATTACCTTCGGTAATCTCATGAAATTAACTCACTAATTATAAGCAATATAGTCAGCCATCCTCACCTTATGAATTGTTGAAATAGTTGCCTTTGCCAAGCCCCTCGATCAATCCCCGTTCTAGGCCGATTGGAGGTGTAAAACTGAACTGCTGGGCAAAAGCCGGGCGGCTTTCGTGGTCTGCAACTACGACAAGCTCCTTTGAAGTGGCGGTTTCCAGCGGTTTCGACTCCTATCGATTGGCCAACCCTCCTAAATTATTTACCACCACTTTATATCAATATTCTACACTTTTAAACGTGTAGAACTCATGATTTAATCCACCATATGATTTCTTAAAAATCATGCACAATAAAACTAGTTAAAAGAGTAGAAATTGTGTTCTTACCCTCTTCTCCTAGCTTTTCTTCTTGGATCCTTCTCTCCTCTTGGTTTCTTCAGCTCCAGAACTTTGAGAGCCTTTTCCCTGGACCTTATCTCCCTTGTGCTGGCCGAATGGATTGAAGAGAGGGTAGGGGAGAGGTCCTTTTCAAACAACACAATGATTTGTGTGGGATAGGACCCTAGCATGGGTTTTTGTCTCAAAGGAGACTTCCTCCCTCTCCCTTGTGCGTACCAGCACGTTTAGCTGCTCCCCTCCCCCATTATTTGATCAATCAGCACCCATAAAAACGTGGGGTGGCCCCCACTTATGTGGGAGGTCATCCCATTACGTCCCGGTGTGTACAATCGGCCCCGAAAGTTGTATTTCTCGGTCCGTTTTAATCATATTTTATTTTATCGGGCCAAATAAAATATATCACGTGTTCCTAATAATTATGGGCCTTTAGAATAGATGTATATTCCCCAACATTAATTTAGGAGTCTCCGAAACTCATTTCGGGCTGTTATCCGTTAAATTGCCAATACCGGTAATTGGGCCCCGTTTGACCAACCGGTCAACTCCATGCCTTTCTTATGGCCAAAATAGAATATCCACCCCCATATAGGTGTCATCTAGACCAAGATGAATATAATATGTGGTTCGGGAATTATCGGGCGGTCCACAATCCCGCTGTGGGCCCCACATGCAATTTACTATTCACGTAAAAGAAATAATGAAATTTAACAATTACGCAAATTCATAAA